ACTCATTCCATCTGATGGGCTTTATGAAATCAATAAATCACCAAAACCTGTGATCTGATTCTTCATTAGACAACAATCTTGAAACCAAAACACTTATTCTCAATATAGATTCCAAAATATTCATGGGGAAAAACATTGATCAGACCCAACAGGCCAAGACGGGAAAGAATTGTGAGGGATAGGTCTGTTAAAACATGTTCGCTCTGCCGTCTCGAGTCACGCACAAATGAAAGTCCTTAAATTGTCTATAATCTCGGCATCCTTGACTGAAATAGAAACAGGTTTTATGAGGTGCTTAAACTGCTATTTTCTCCGAGGCTATCATTAAAATGAAACTTGCTGATAGCGATATCCCACTGAGTTTTTAATGAGCCACAATTTTGTCTTGCTACGTAGTTTAACGGTGGATAAAAACACATTTGCGAAATAATTCTGCAACAAATTTCATTCAATGCCACAAGCAACGATCAATGATGTATGTCGAGTTCTCCAGTCATTTCTCACATGCTCCCTGAGGTGAGCATGTTGTGTCTTCTGCTTTCTGAAATAAATATGTCGCTATGTGCCAAAAATCATTTCCCACTTATGCGACGGGAAAGCTTTATGCAAGAGAATGACCAGTCTTCAATAAGCTATGAGCAGAAAAATGTATTCAAAATGCGAGCTGTGGTGGATTTTCAGGCGGCACTGTGGCGCAGTGGATTCTGTGTGGAGTTTGCATGTTCTTCCTGTGTCTGCGTAGGTTTCCTCCAGGTGCTCCGGTTTCCCCTGCTCCTAAAAACATGTATAGTAGGTCTGATCTGCGCCTCCTGTATGGTGACTCCGCCCCCATTTCTGTGTGCAGTGAGAGACCGATGCCTAAAAAAACGGACAATTGTAAAGTGCTTTGTGACTGGTCTGTGAAAGGCGCAAAATAAAAGCGCTAAGTGAGATTACTAACTTACTGACATAGCACCATTCTACAGTATTAGGACACTCAACATTTTATGGATATTTATCAACAGTTGACCAATGGCTCTATTTGTGTTGTATCATTGCATTTCTTGTGTTTGAACTGTTTTATTCTCTGATCTGTGTTAGCGAATCAACGGTTTTGTAAAGTCCAAGTTGTTGTTTTTTAAAGTAGCATATGTAAGATTTTGACGTCAAAACATCTTTAAATGGCCCTAATATGTCAAAAAGCAGTAATAAACCATGCTCTTTTCCAATACTTTAATTAATAACAGTAGTTCATCTGAGATATTCGAATTAAAAAATGTGTAACAGCCCGTAAATCTTGTTATTATTTTCATTTCGATGTCACGCCCTCCACTTTTTTACCAATCAGAAAGTCTGTGATCCGGGTTGCCAGAACTTTATCTCACTGGTAAAGTAACACGTGGCTGCAGAACTAAAAAAGGTCTCTTTATGATTCTCAAATCGTTAACCACAAAACAAGGAATAAAGGATTTCTATCGGGGGTGTCTTTGTGAAAAAGGTGTTTGTCATAGATTTGTTGTTGAATAAACTCTTGTCTATTCAGATTTCATGGTCCCAGCTGGATTTGTCTGCATATCTGGCAACCTGAGTCAGGGAGAGTTGGGGAGGTTGCTGTACTGCTTTTGGCCATATTTTTACATACTGCTCCGTTAAATGTAAAATGTATAATTAATAATAGTAAAATTATTCTCCCAACATCGCCTTTCCGACTTATAACAAAACAACGCACGCTCCTTCTAAACATGTCCTTTTTGACTGCATATGTAAATCTTGACTACACAAAAATCTTGATAAGTCTATTTCCACCGAGCAGAACAGGTCAGCGCACATTCCTATTACCGTAATGAACCGCTCCACGGATCCTATATTGGATTTTAAATTGCACCCAAGATTTTTTGACAAGCAACTTTTTAAAATGCAGCCGTAGCCCCCGTAAAATATAAAATATAGAACACGTCTCATAAATTCACATAAAACAGTTCGAAGGTTGAAGGTCACAACAATGTACAACTTTCTGTTCAAATTGATTAATAAATGATGAAGGTGCAATAAATAAAAATGTTAAAGTAGATCATAAGAGATACAGAGGTGGACGGGAACAGTGGTTAATGATGGAGATCAACACATTTGCATAGAGAGAGAAAAAGCACTGCAGTAAACAACCAAATTCATCGCCTTTGTCCCCAAATCGTAAAACTTCTCTCAGCCTGGCATGTTATAATTAGTGAGACAAGCCACGTCACAGCACAAATATAAAAACTTACATTCATAAAAACAACATGGACATACAAAACATGCACAAGTGGCTGATCATTTGATTATATTATAGTGAAATGTAAGTAATAGTAAGTAAGTAAGTAATCTTTATTTATATACCGCCTTTTCACTGCACATCGGAGTCTCAAAGCGGTTTACAATTGTTATTTTTGGGAGTGGGGCCAGTACAGGAGGCACATGCCAGACCTATTGTACATATTTTTAGTGGTAGGGGAAACCGGAGCACCCGGAGGAAACCTACGCAGACACGGGGAGAACATGCAAACTCCACTCAGAAAGGCCCTGGTCCAACCGGGATTCGAACCCAGGACCTTCTTGCTGAGAGGCAAGAGTGCTATCCACTCAGCCACCGTGCCGCCCAAATGTCCAACTTTGTGTCTAATAAAAGCTGTTTCTGATCCCATAACTGCCTCTTCTGTGTGGTTACATAAAGCAAACAGACGAGGAAAGGTCCAGACCAAAAGACATCCAAGATAAATATCGACAAAATCATCACAGTCCCCAGACAAATTCAGCCAGACGCGTTGTTTTCTTTATTTTGACTGTGCTTAAAATAATGAATTAGAACACATTGGTCAATATTTGGTTTTTAAAAAAGTAATTGTTTCCATCTGGTTCATGAGTTCCTGTAATAAATCAGATGCACAGGACCATCTGCTGTATTCATGCACTGATGTCACATGAGGGAACATATTTCCTTTATTCAGCTGTTTGAGATCTGAAGTTGTAGAAGAAGACATATTTGGCTAAAGAGGAGTTCCACAAAAGCAGAGTCCCACACCCTCTGCTCCCAGCGGGCTCCACTGTGACTCTCCAAGTGTGTCACCAGTGGTATGAGCTCTCCGGGCGTTCCCACTGCTTAAAGCCAGTGCAGCGTGTGGTGGTAGTTAACCCTTTAATGGCATGAACTTAAAAGACTGTCTCCATGTTTTGTTTTAGAGCCAAATCGTCATTGTTGTGATTATGCTAAAATATCATATAATAAATATATTTTTTCTTTTTAGGTAAGAGGGAAAATATGTTGTTATTTTCAACTGTTAAGGTATAAAAGTAAAACAAGTCACCATTTATTTTTTCCTTTATTAGATTTTTCCTGTGGATCTGTGTGTTTTTATGTTGGGTAAATTTTTTGGGGAATTTTTGTTTTTTTAGATTTGTTTTGTTCTTTATAATAATTAGTCAAATTTGCAAATAGAATTTAGAACAAACGGAGCGTATTTGTTATAGTTAAAATATGAGAACAATGTTTATTGTCCCTGTAGGAGATGCCGTTAAAGAAGCGCCCTTTCTCACTTCAAAATCCACAAATTATTTTCATCAATACAAGTTATTTTTTAGCTTTTTGTTGTACATTTTTTGTTTGCCCAATATTTAAATACAGTATACAGTTTTGAAATGTGCTAATCTTGACCTCAACATTTCAAATTAATCTTGCAAACTTAATTCAAAAGTTTGTTGAGGCTCGCCCAGAGAACAAATGCAACTTTTAAGTAAACTTTGACAAACAGGACTTTCTTTGGTTGAAATGATCTAATAGTGAGTCAGGATTCTACGTATAATTCCAACACATTAAGACAAAGAAGAGGCGGAAAGTATTTAGTTTCATGCATGAAGACTGTGTGAGCGATGAGCCACTTTATCTCATGTGATTGTGCAGAGAAGCTGAAGTCATTGACCTTCTTATTTAGCATAATATTTCCAGCACATTTTGAGATTCACTGTTTTCATTAAATACTGCTGTTGTGTTTTAGCAAAAAAATATGGTCTAATATGTTTTATCGTACTTTTGCTAATTGTAAAAAAAAAATATTAAGAAAACATGCAATAAATTATTTCTTAACTTTAATCACATATATAGACACAAGCAAACATTGGGAAGCTATTTTTGTTTTATTCATTATTAATTTGTTTAATTTTTCCCAAAAGAAAAAGTTTTGTGAAAGTAAAATGATCAAAGTTGTGAAATAAATGAAAGAAAGCAAGATAAAGTTTGTGATTATTGCCAAAAGTCTAGAAAAGATACAGACGGTGCAGGGGTGTGTTGGGTTCTCAGAGGAAACATGTGCAGAGGGTTTGGTGGAACAGAGGCCCCTGAAGAGGAACAGGTGTGGTGCTGCCAGGACACACACACACACACACACACGCACACAGACAAACACAGAAAGTGCCAAGAGCATTTGATGAAAAACTCACCTACAAAATGAACAGGAGACACATTTTTTATTTTATATATTTTTTTTATATCTATCCCCCCCTCCCCATTCCATTTTTTTTTTATTTTTTAGCTCAACAAAGCTTAAGGCATATCTTAAAAATCCGCATTCTTAAGCTACACCAAAAGGCTTTGTTTCTCCCAATTGTTGTAATTTTTGTTTTGTTAAGTCAATAAGATAACCCCCCATTTCATTTTTTGTTTTGTTATTCAAAGCTCAAGGCATATCAAAAAAATCTGCATTTTTACATTATGCCATTATACATTTAAATATTACATTATGCCATATGATATTTAAATGAGTCTTAAGTCTTTAAATTAGATTTTCCCAATTTGATTTTCAAATTCCAATGTATTTTTCTTTTTCCCCTTTTTTGTTGAATTTTAAGAATTCAACCTTAATTTTATGTTTTTTTTTTTCGTTTTTCAAGCTTGTTGTTTTTTGTCTTAATTATGTTTTTTATGTTCCCAGCCCTGCTGCGGTGACCTCCTACAGTAAGTGAAGGTGACCTCAGGCAGGAGTGATGTGCTTTTAAGACGCTGATCTGATGTATGCTCTCAGAGGACCAGGCGACACTCTGCTCCTCCTGGTCCTGAACATTTTAAACACTCGAGAGAAGAAGCGTCCTGGTCGTCGGCCTCGGTCCTCGTCACTGAAGTCTTCCAGCTGGATGTTCAGATTTCTCACCGCTGCCTCCACAAACCAGTCACTCTGGAGCAGGGCTGAGGAGATGGGTCCCAGCTCTTCCTGGAGACTTCTAGCTGCCTCTTTAGCTCCGGCTTTGAGGTCTTTGGTCTTCAGGTCTGTTCCTTAGGGCATGGAGACTCTTCGCTCCACCTCACGCAGTCGCAAAATTACTTTTCCTTGTTCCCTAATGTCCAGAGACACGGGGGATTTGTCCAAGAGCTTTTGGATCATCGTTGAAACCATGAAGTGAGCGGCATCGGAGCCGACGTCCTCTGTCTCTGGTGGGACAGTTTTCTCTGGTGGACTGACAGTTTCTGAAGGACTGTTAAAGTTCTTGAGGTTTGGGGTTTCTGGAGCAGGAGGTTCTTGGATAACCTCAGGTGTGTCCTGCACCAGACTCGCAAGGTCAGGAGAAGAGATGAAGTCCAGGGACGAAGGAGGATCCACTGGACTGTCCTGCTCAGGAGAAGTCTGGACCACAGCACAGAGGGTCTGAACCAGATCCTCAAGGACAAGATCCTCAGGGATTGTCTCCTCAGGGACAAGATCCTCAGGAAAATGCACCTCTGTGATTGGATTCTCTATGATTGGTTCCTCTGTGATTGGCTCCTCAGGGAAAAGCACCTCTGTGATTGGCCCCTCAGGGACAGGCACCTCTGTGATTGGCTCCTGGGGGAGAGGCACCTCTGTGATTGGCTCCTCAGGGACAGGCACCTCTTTGATTGGCTCCTCAGGGACAGGCACCTCTGTGATTGGCTCCTCGGAGACAGGCACCTCTGTGATTGGCTCCTCGGGATCAGGTACCTCTGTGATTGGCTCCTCAGAGACAGGCACCTCTGGGATTGGCTCCTCGGGGACAGGCACCTCTGTGATTGGCTCCTCTTTGATTGGCTCCTCATTGACTGGCTCCTCCGGGACAAAATCCTCAGAGACAGGCTCCTCCAGGATTAGTTCCTCAGAGACAGGGACCTCTGGGATAGGCTCCTCTGGGACACGACCCTCCTCTAGGAATGGGTTCTCTGGGATTGATTGCTCTAGTCCGGGCCCCTTTATGATTGGTTCCTCAGAGATAGGGACCTCTTTGATTGGCACCGCTGGCATTGCCTCCTTTTTTATTGGCCCCTCTAGGATTGGCATCTCTTTGATTGGCTCTTCTAGGATTGGCTCCTCAGAGACAGTCTCCTCTGGGATGGTCTCCTCTTGGACCGGTGGGGACCCCTCTCTCTGGGATGCACGTGTGTCTCTCTTGGCTGGTGCGACAGTATGCCTGGCCTCGAGCTTCTCTGTCTCTCGCAGTTTGAAGACCCTCTGCTGGAAGAGGAGCTCCTCAGAGGACGACAGCTGAGGGTTGTCCAGCTCCATCTGCTCTTTGAACCCCATCATGTGCAGCATCGCCTCTGCAGCCTGGAGCTTGGCCGTCTTCTTGTTTGGACCCAGGCCCTGACATGTCCTCTGGTCCACTCTGACCTCCATACAGAACTTTGACGCATGGTAGCCACGGTGTTGGAAGCCGACCACCTTGTACTCAGAAGGCCTCTGCTTCCGCACCATCAGGATCTCTGCCAGGGCATTGACGGGGTCTTTCTTGTAGAAGAAGTACACCCGCTGTGATGGGTCCACCAGCTCCATGTGGGGTTTGGACCAGTATGGAGTCATGTCCCCTGGCAAAGAACGGTTCTTCAGCTGATGCAACACCACCTTAGCTGCACAAAGCTTGGCCTTTTGTTTGGTGGGGCCTGCACCAAATCCCACCAGGTCCCCCTCTACCAGCTGTATGTGGAAGGTCGTGCATGGGAAGGGCCTTCTTTTCCCATCTCATTAAACTGCAGCTGCAGGTGGTGCAGACATGCCAGTTCGTACAGGAGGGACAGGTCAGTCTTGTGGACTTCACTGGGGTGTCCACGGTGCATGTTGTCTGTGTTTGTGTTTGCTTCTGTTTCTATAATGTGCTAAAATAATACACTGTTGTAGGAGAGATATTCCCTAAGCTTGTTTCAGCTTCCTGAGATAACCTTTCAAAGCCAAAATTCTGGAATGACATGATAAAGATAAGCTGGGTTGCCATGACAACATCCGTCGTGCGCACAGAGGGACTTTTCTTTGAAAATTCACTGTTGTTTTTATCCTGTATAATGTTTAATCACATTGTTGTTTCTGTAATAAACTAATAATAACATTTCTTTTGTTGCCAGTGCGTGACTTGAGAAGTCTCCCGCCGCTGGAGCTCACACAGAACAGTCTGTGTGCAGGACATTCACGTGAGCGCCCCCTGCAGGTTCTGTTGTGACATTCAACAGGTCTCAGCACAGTCACAGGTCTGGACGAACATCACGTTTCATTGATTTCATCAGAGTCTCGACAAATGAGTAAAGTATCATCTACAAACAAGTGTAATGTGGATCTGTGTCACACTTCCTGAAGAGTCATGTCCTGTAAAGACTGATCAAACAAATCTGATTTTTTTTAAGTTTATTTCTTTCAACTCTTAAATATTGCAATACATATTTATATTCTTCTCAAATTAAAGTAAGTAATGTTTATCTATGTTTATCTATAGAGCACAGTTAAGCGCTTTACAATGTTCATAGGATACATAGAATAGGATTAAAAGATAATATAAGTCTGAATTAGTCATTTTAAGCATTACTATTAGTGCTGTTAAACTTAAAATGACTTGAATTCGATACGAGAATTGTGATGTTTTGTATATATTGTGATTCTGTATATACAGTATGTGAAAAATTTTATATTTTTGCAGCCGCTTAAATTAATTATTGATAATGAAGAAGGCACTTTTTTATTTGTGTCTTTCTTGAATTATATGTGCATGTTAAAAATATATATATATATATATAAAACACATTGTAAAACTGCTCAAACAAAAAATACTACTACAACTACTACTACTACTACTATTCTCGTATCAATAAAAATATAAATGCAATTCTAAAAAATAGAAATACAAAAATGTTTAACTGCCTTTTTAAGTAAAAGCAGAGTCTTACTTGTTCTGCACTTCCACTTCCGCTCACTTGTAGACGTTATTTAAAATAACTTTGTAATATTGTCTTATGTTTAAGTATCGGGCTCGCTGCAATTGTGTGTCTTTACGCAGCCTTGACACGCAACAAACAGGCCCCTGCAAGAATCAGACCTGGATTATGGCGGAATCAGGGAGTTTCCATGTCTTCATTGGGCCTAAGTTTTTAAAATGATGTGAACAAATCAGAAAACAACAACCCATATCCTTCATCTTATCAAATGTCTTAATTCTAAATCTTGTGCATACTTTTAAGAAAGGGCCTTGTGACTCACTGTTTGACTTTTTGGGCTGAGAGTGTGGATTTTTGGAGGCAATCTCAAAATGCAAGGTGTGGGGGGTGTTTTCTAAGAGGGGCCTGGAAGAAAATAATTGAGAAGCACTGGTCTAGGGCCTTTGACAATCCTTATTTTTATCTTACCGTCGTCCCAAATGAGCTATTACTATGCTAAAAGGAGCATGAATGATGAATGTCCCTGCATGTTTAGGCTCATTTCTGAAAGCCAGTGACAGACAAATCCAACACTGCGAATACAAATGATGGCTGGTTCAGTATTTTCTATTATCCCCCTCACAGAAAGCTCACTGTCACATCATCTCAGATACAAAGTAAATTACCTGTCACCGCAGCAGTGCCCACACTATATCACACCGTAATGATTTCTTAAAACAAATTTGTGTCTTACAGGACGGGAGAAAAATGCACAAGTCAGCTGCCATTATTTCAACTCTCTATAGAACTGTGAATTGGCTGGCTGAATCGTGTAAACATAGATGAAGAATTATGATTTTTAAAACTTTTCAATTCTCATGATACTGTTCAGTTTTTAGTTAAAGCAAGTATGTAAGTAAGTACTCTTTATTTATATAGCGCATTTTTACATACCATGGTCACCCAAAGTTTCACTTGGAGCATGCCAGATTGTGTGTAGCTCTTTCATCTGAAAACTTTTGCTGAATCTGGAACATGTTGGATCAAAGTCACTCCATACTCAGTGCAAACACAAAAAATACATTTGGATTATTTTATGTATTTTCAGCATATTGTGTGTTTCTTAATACTCAAAGACTAAGTAAACCTAAGGTGAAGGTCAGACTGTTTTAACCCTTGTATTATGTTAAGGGTCAATTTGACCCATTTCAGTTTTTGAGTTGATCAAAGTACTGGTTATCCTTCCTTTTTCTTGCTGAAATTTGGTGACTTTTCCTCATCTAGGGTCATGAACTGGTGTGTAAAATCTGGACACTTTGATGTGTAGTGGAATGTCTGTGCAGAGTTTGTATACAAAGATGATGTTGCGGGTCATTTTGACCCAGACGCTTTAATGTGGGTAAATAGTTGTTCAGATCCAAAAAAACATGTCTCTTTGACATTGTACTTTGATTGCCTCTGAGATCCAGAGCCAGGTGTGTGAAGAGAGGGAACTTTCTCACACTTGTCCTTGTCACTGTTCTCATGTCATCTCTTTTGCCTAGCGTACATCGGACTGGCACCTTATTATATCCGTCGCCTATGAGTTGCTGCCCCGCACACATCGACAATCTGGCGTAAACGGGCAACTCCTAGTAGCAGACCAGTCTCGGGAATCCCAGGAATAATAGTTGACAGCAACTGGCCTCAACTACAGTGTGTTTTCTGACATAAACTGTGGAGGGCGCAATACACGCAATACACACATGTTGTTGGAGCGTGCACATCGGGTCATATCTCCGGATCTGAGGACAACTAGTTGCCGAAAAGTAGAACACGGGCAACTGACTGAAACCGGAGATCGACTGTTTATCTCCAGTTGTAAGAGCGCTCACATCGACCGATTTCGGCAACTGATCATCTCCATCATCTGCTCTCAGTTGCCAAAAGCCGCCTTGAAACTAGTTGTCCCCAGTTTCTCTGTCGATGTACGCTAGGCTTTAGACAAACTCACCAAAAATGAGCTTCAGAAGGGTGACATCTGAGGAGGCTTTATCACAGATTTTTAACTGGGATAATGATGTAGAGGAAGAGACTTCAGAAACAGAGGATTTTTCAGAGACAGAGGACAATGTTATTGCTGATCCAGATGGTCAATTTTCCTACGATGAGGAGGATTCAGAGGACGAATCTTTGGTCAAGGAAAGAGGAAGGGAGGACGGACGGAAGGTAGGAAGGAAGGAAGGGAGGAAGAGAAAAGAAGGGAATAGATGAGGATGAACAGAGAGAAGGAAAACAGGATGAGAAAAAGGAAGGAGAAAGCATGGCAGGAGGAAAGAATTGTCATTTTGACCCGAGAGGAGGACAAGAGGATTAGACTAAATATTTCTTAAATATAGCGTTGGAAATAAAAATGTATTGTATGTCACTTTTCTAAATATTTATATAACCTAAGATAAAGTTGTTATTGGTTTAACCTGTTTTCTTGACTGTTTTGAGTGCATTTACACAGTACGGGTCAAAATGACCCGCAACATAATCAATGTCATTTTTTTTCAACATAATACAAGGGTTAAATATTTTGTATCATAAACGAACAATACGTAATATAGACGTCATATGGTGATTAATATGTATTATTTTCAAAATGAAGTTGCATACACTGCTGTTAAAGACGAGATAACATGCCTTGTTTTTGCTTATCAAAATCACAATGAGACTGTTCACTGTATAATTTCATGTTTTAGAATGTTAAGCAGAACATTCATGATGGGACTGGTACAACATTGTACTAACTCCCCGTCATCACAGGGAGAAGCTTTTTGACTTATTTCTTTTTTTTTCTTTTTTTAAACTGTGTACAACTTTAGTTTTAAAATCCATGGTTAAAAGTTTAATAATGTCTCGTTTAAATCTTTATTAGATTCAAGAACAGATTTGTGCCAAGGACATTCACATTTTTACCCTAAACACAATTCTGCTAAACTCCATTTGTAAGTGAGTAGGTAATCTTTATTTATATAGCACCTTCCTGTTCTGACCGGGATATGAACCCAGGACCTTCTTTCTGAAAAGCGTGAGCCACTGTGCCGCCCATTTGCAGACTCTCTTCGTAGTCTGGATCCGTTGAATCCTCAGCACCAGAACAAGAAAGATTCTCCAGAGTTTGTGACCTCCCACATAATCAAGAGCAATCATCTCGCTGAGCTTAGTGAAGGCTGATATTATTTCCAGAGGTTCCCACATACACAGACACATGTTCATTATCAGTCTGCCACACCTGCCCCACCCTCACACTGTCCACGTTTATCACCCAAACTCTCATGCTTCCTGATGTGACCTCACTCACTCTGACCACAGCTCCTCATTCTATGACCCGAGCGGAACAATTACTGAAAGAGCAAAAGGGGCCTCTGCAAATAACTTTTGAACAATATGTTTAGTTTTACTTACTATCCACCTTCTTTGAGGGAGGAACAAAGTAGTAAATATGTTATGAGGAGGGATGAATGGAAGGTATGAAAAATACAAATCAAAGGTATAAGGCGGTTGATTTTGTAATAGATATTCTTTTACTCGTCTCTAACAGTATTTTCTCATGTGGGATGAAGGTGGAACAGGTGGAGTCCAAAGAAGTAACATCTGCCTTTTACCTGATGTTCAAAACCAGTCTGTAAA